TCACATTATGTTCGGCTCTCCTTGATTACATCCTCATGATAAGTGTGATTGACAAACAGTAGTGATCAATAACTTGTATAAAGCAATTATACAACAGATGACAAGTTCATTTTTATTACAATCATGATATTGATTTTCGGCCATATCGCCTATATCACCCATATCCTGAGCTACTGGAAGCAGGGAGCAGAGAAAACAATCCTGACACACTGACCTCAAAACATTTGTCTTAAATGTTCAGAAGAAACCTGCTAAAACATCAAATTGTTCATTTATCTGTCCACAAACACGACTTTTTCAGGAAGCACATGGATAAGAAAATGTGTTAATATTATGAATATATTAAAAAGTAGCCTCATTGCTTGTAGTTCTAATCATTAACTTCCTCAATAAGCAGCAACGAGTGGCTGAGTGCTGCGCTGTCCCACGGCAGGGAGGCGCTGAGCAGGAGCTGAGTGAAGTCACATCTGCTGGGAAGAAAATGTGTTGCAGCTGGGACACAGGCCTCAGCTGCAGCGCTGTTACTTCTAGTTTTTGTAAGACAGGCAGAAACAGGGCCGTGCACAGACCTTTGAAGGGGCGGGTGCTCAAAGTTAAAAAGGGCACATATAGAGCAACATTTTTAACGATCCAAAAAGCTTGAAAATTCAGATAAAGAGAAAGTCCTGTTCTGATACGAGGTGGTAGGGATGCACGTAGCTAACTGGTTAATTGCTGTTAATGTTGTAACCGGGTAAAGTAGTTTTTCCCAGTTAACTGCTTCAAGTCCTTCTGCTGCGCTGGGTGTAATATATTTTGCGCCACCAGAGCGCCGCTGCCAAATATGTTTACCGGGCGACCGCAGAAGAAGAAATGAGCTCGTCACATGATCAAACAAATGTGCTCAAACACGAAGCGGTTAGCAGCAAGCCAGCGTTGGAGCTGTTTATTCCTAGTTATCTAATACTAGTCATATTTTCACCATGTTATTCATGCATTTATAAATGTTAGATATCCCATATTGGTAACTAAATATTTAATTAAGAGGTAAATTATTAGTTTATAAACTAAATATTTAGGTCAGGCCATTTGTCCCCTGCACTTTTTACCGTGCAAAAACAATATTCTGCTATATTAAAGAGACGCTGGTTGAGCACTAGGACCAAGCAGAAAAAAAATGCTCGTGTTGAAGCCTTTTGCCATTAGAACCACCCGTAAGCTCATCTATTGGCTCTGCTGATACTTGCTAACGTGTGACTGGCCGTTCCTGCCACCTTTGTACTTGACAGTTCTGCATTCCTGACATTACATAAAAGAGCTTCTATAGGCTGTAGTTTTGTACATATTTATTGCACCCCAGTCCTCATACCGGTTGTTATCATCTCAGAAGTGTAAATGTGTGTGTTGTGTGTGTACATAATAACGTAAATTCAGCTTTAATCATTTTCATTTTATAGCTTTGGTACGTTCTTACTGTGTCTAGTTTCTAATTCCATTTTTGGTTCTTTTTTAAAACACAGATAAGGTTTCTCTTTACCTTGCTGACAGTTTCGTTTGCCGACTGCAAAACATCCTCAGAGCTGACGCTGATGGTGGCGTCACTGCCTACTCCGTTTATCCGCGGGCAGCAGAGGACGTTGTCGCCCTCTGCTGCCTGCTCCCCCCTCTCCGATGATGCAGTCCCACGCGTGATCCAATGTGTAAACCCCATCGTCTCTGTTCATGGTCCCACATCCACGTCTCCTTATCTCTGTAGCTTCTTTCATCCATTTTCATTTTATACAAAATCAGCTGATTTTACAAGCATTAATGTCAGTATATCAGTATCAGCCATAACAGTAATCTTGATATCGGATATCGTTATCGGCCCAACAATTTCATATCAGTGCATCACTAATGAAATATTTAGAAATATGATCCCACCTGGAGGATTATCCGGTTCTCATCCTTCACATGAAACCTCGTTGCTGCCCAGTCCCCACCATCACCAGCCCCACCTGCACACGGACACACACGTGGATGCATTCATGCCATCTCAACCTGGATCGACTGTCCAGATGTCTGCGCACCAGCGTGTCCACCACGTCTGACTTTAGTCAGCACTGATGTTGTGTTTCACAGGTGTGCTCAGACACTATTGTTTTACAGCCCAAAGACCCCCACCCCCCACCCCTCCCCGATCTGCCCTTAGCCTTTGGGAAGGAGCTGACGGAGAAGGCCGAGAGTCAGGTTTCCAGGCTAAATTAAACCCTGACACGTCTTGAGCACAGCAGAAGCTCTCTGACCTGAGATAAATCTCACAAGCTCCATTAGAGCAACACACACATTCAGCAGCAGCAGCGAGAAGCTCTAGCTGACCCTTCATTCTGGGTTCCTACGTGTCCGTTTGACTTTATTGCAATGAGTTTGTTTGTGCAGGTTCTATAAACAGCAGCATCAACACATAAACACAACACATCCAGTTTTCCCTTCAGATAATCGCTGTAAACAGGTGCATCTGTGTGTTTAGTTCGACTGCAGGCCGCTGTTGATGCAACAGTCGCTGCTGCCGAACCTGTTGTGCCAGTGGTCTGCTGCAGAATCTCAGAATGTTTGGCAGCAAGACGAGTTTGCATCCACAAATCTGTATGTGAAGAACGAACGGCTAATCTAATGAATACATTTGTAAATGTGGAATTTCTTACCCATGAAATCAGACAGTTCAACAGAGAAATTCACAATTCACATCAGAGCATGTGTAAAACTCCATCAAAATACTAAATGATGACCCCCTCCTTCTTGTTTTTGGTCAAATGAAACCAACAGCTTCAGGTAGGACCTCCAGTCCAACACCATGATCTGAATAAAAGTGGCAACACCATCAAAATGAGAGGCATCTCCAAGAGGACACACAGTTGGATGATAAATTGATGACGGATTGACAAAAAACACAATTATGTGGTTATGAAAAGACAACAAACTCCCACTAAAAAAGAGAGCTGCTGTCAAAACACAAGTGTATTTATAGAACGCTTTTCCAGTCCCACCAACCACTCAAAGTGCTTTTCAGCATCTTCAACATGTCATCAACCTCATAATCAGGAGGGGCCAGCTCTATCCACCAACATTTATGTTGCTGCAAAGCATTTGGGGTTACAGTGATCTTAAAAAGCTCAGTTTTAAGAAGCAGTTCCCCTTCTAGCCTAACTTGTTAAACAGTTAAAATAAGGACCATCAATGTATCTCCCTTGTCCATATCAGCAGTTTTACTGATAAAGTCAGGGAATAAAATTAATTAAAAAAAAACACCTTGTTAAGAGTACTTTACACCCAGGGTATTGTAACACGTCCTGGAGTTTATTTTCTATGTGCGGTGAATGAAGACCTGCGCTCCAGCTGATGTTTAACAAATATCTTATTTTGCTCTTCACCAGCAAACACAGTCAAAACTAATGAAAATGCAGATATAATGGTGTGGATGCCTTTCTACCAAACGTTCAAGAGCAACTGCAGTCACGATTGTCCATTTTAGTCCTTATCCCTGAGATAGTTTTATTCCAGTCTGAGTTTTCGGTTTTCAGTCTCAACAGCTTGTGTTCCTTTCTGTGTCCCCTAAAGCAGGGATCTCCATCACGTTGTTCACGAGCTACCAGTAGCTCCTGATGTACTTGAAAGTCGCTTGCCTGGAAGTATCTAGGGAGCCATCCCGCCTAATGGCTTAATTAATGAGGGAGGGCTTTCAAGTTTGATGGCAAGCCCCGTTATCTTTAAAATCTGACCTAAAATTAGCTTTTAGTGGAAGTAAAATAAAAATCTGATCATTGCACAAATCTTTCAGCAAAAGTGTTCAAGTATGTACTACTGGAAATATGCAGATTCTTTGCAAGGGCTTGGAACCTCATTGCTGTCCACTTGGAATGAAGCAGATGTAGCGGGTAGATGAAGATGCGCTTCAAAGAAAGACAGGGTGATGATAGTTATACAGATCTGGTTTGGGTTTAGGTAATCTGATGCTGAGAGGAAAAACATCCTCAGTAAAATATTCCAGGCAACAGCAAAGTCCTATCTGCGTTAATAGCTTGTTAACGCAAAGTGGGGTTCAGTAATTGTGTTGGAAGGAACTTTATCAACTTCACATGGGACAGCACTCTGCGGGCCTCCGATATGGAAGCGTATGTGTAACAAAAATCATATTATTATGCAGCAGCAGAAATGATATTTCATTTTCATATTACCACCGCCAAATTTGACTCATAAATAAATTTAATAAGCAATCTTCCAAACTGCTTTTTAATTTTCTTCTTCATCATTGCTTATTCTGTGACTTAAAGGGACTTTACGGAGTTTTGAATTTTTATGCTCGCGATTGCTCCCTCTGGCCAAAGGCGTAACGGCAGCTTCAATAGGAGGCTCGTGCACAAGGCGCGCATGCTGTACGTGCACACTCCTTAACGAAAATAACAGCTTCACTCTGTGAAGCTGACCCCCGTCAGCTTCACAGAGCTCTGAGAGCTGACAATCCCTTGTGTGTATGTGTGTGTGTGTGTGCAGCAGATGGCAGGAGAACGCGCAGCTAATTAATTAAATAATTTGGTTCTGTACCTTGAGCACTTTTGTTGTTTGTGTTTTATAAATATAATATATTACTGTACTGTAGAAGTGTCCACCAGCACGTCTTAGCCAGCTAACATTAGCTTCATGTTTGCTGCCTGTGGTCTCCTGACTGTGAAGGCTAACGGACTTTATTAATAATTTATTCCAAAACACTGACTTATATTACAGCTGATACAAGAGTGCTGCTGCTGAAATAACATAAATATTACTGGTATTAGACATTTCTCATGCCACAGACCCTTCCCTCTGACTGGAGAGCTAACTAGCTGCCATGCTAACAGGCTGAAGAGGGCCGTTTTTGGGTTCTGCCTTTTCAGGAGTTCATTCAGGTTCATTAATGGTTAAAGAAATGAAATTTTATTTAAGGCCATCAACATTCATACATGTAAATATGCCTTTGTCAATCACAGGGCAGTGTGTAATACTTATCGCTGCATAACGTGTCTTTATCTCATGTCTCAAAACTTTATTTGTTTTCGTTTATTCCAGTAAATTTAATAAGGATCACATCTGGGTGGACCCCTCATCTCTACTGACAGCCACAGGTGTGTACTATGAACATTATGTTATTTTCAAATGTTATTCTTCTTCATTTTAGCAAGAAAAGCACACTTCTACATCCACCTACAGAGGAGCTGAAGAGTGTCATGGTCTGCGTCTGCCCCCTCCTTCATGTGCCTCCTGGTGTCCTCCATCCCTCTCTAGATTCCCTTTTGTGTCTCATAGCGCCCTCATGTGTCCTTTGTCTGCATCTCATTTATGTGTTTTCTGTTTGTAGGCATTCGATCATCCCCATCCCCTCCAGTTGTAGCTCCAGCCTCTTTGTCCCCAGCTCTGTGTCTGTTTGGGTGTGTGCGTGTCCATTCCCCAACTCAGTGTGAGTGTGTGTGCGTGCGTGCGTGTCCATTCCCCAACTCAATGTGTGTGTGTGTGTGTGTGTGTGTGTGTGTGTGTGTGTGTGTGCGTGTCCATTCCCCAATTCAGTGTGTGTGTGTGTGTGTGTGTGTGTGTGTGTTTGTGTGTGAGTGTGTGTGCGTGCGTGTCCATTCCCCAATTCAGTGTGTGTGAGTGTATTTGGGTGGGATTGTGTGTGTGTGAGTCATTCCCTCAGTCTTTTAGTTCAGTTTTGTGTTTATCTGCCCTTCTTTGGTTATGCTTCCCCAGTTAGATAATTGTTGTCACCTGTCTTCCCTCCAGCCCTCACTCCACACACCTGCTTCCTGTTTCCCTAATTGTTCCTCCCAGTCTATTTAAGCTCTGTCTTGTCTCTGTGTTGTTGTTGGTCCATTGTATTTCTTGGTCAGCGTTGTTTTGTCTCTAGTCTCTAGTCTTTAGTCTCAGTCTTTAGTTCTCTGCTCAGAAGGTGAGCTTTTGGATTTTTGTCTTAGTTTAGCTATTTGGTTTTTGCCTTCGCTCCCTTGGATTTTTGGTTCTCCTCCTAAATAAAGGATTTTTACTTTATACCAACTCCTGCCTCGTGTCGTCTGGGGTTTACTGCATCTTGGGTCCTAACAACCTCCTCCTTGCTCTCAACGTGACAGAGAGCCTGTCTGTGACCTCCTGATGCCCCAGAGACTCCAGCCTCAGCCTGATGATGTGAGCATTTAAACCTCATATAATACCGGTCCTGGACATTTTTACATCTCACTTGTATGCTGCCATTCATATCACACACACACACACACACACACACACACACACACACACACACACACACACACACACACACACACACACACACACACACACACACACACTCCTCTTCATGTTTTTTACATGAAGAGGAGTTATTAACTTTTGCTTTTAAACTTTCCGATCTTTAGATGAACTTCATGCCAAAGCAGGGCCATGAGAACACAAAGAAGTGCTGCTCCGGTGTCCTGACCCTGGACACCTGCAGTCCTACAGAGAAAATCAGAGACCACAGGTGACAAAAAAGGCAAACACATTTTTACATTTATCCACATGAGAATATAACTTTTGTTCTTCACACAAACTTTTTACTTCATTATAACGTGTCAGCTGTGTAAACCCCTGAATGTAAAACTACTTTTCACAGAAGAACTTCTGTGGTTGTGTTTAAACAGCTTCTCTCTTCACCTCTAAACTTAATAAAAACGCTTCTTTGCTCCGTTGTCCTTAAAACAAATGACAAGTTAAATTCGACAGACACACACACACACACACACACACACACACGAACACACAACTGGGACCTGCAAAACAAACTCGTTCTGGCTGATTTCTGCCTAAAATGTAATTTCAAAAACAAATATACAAGCGAAAAATGTCTATAAACTTAACCGCTTTAAGCTTTTTAGGTTTCTACGGCTAGTTTTTAACAAATTTATGTTTAAAACTTCGTAGCTCTCCCCAATTTCTCTTCCTGTTGAAAACCATAGCCGGTGCGCAAAGCATGCTGGGATAGCCTTGTTCTGTGAGGATACAACAGACCAGTCTTGAAATTCGGACAGTACTCGTCGCTGCGCTGTGACATCATCAACCTCAAAATGCACTCCTACAAGCATCCTTCCCGTGGATTCGGACACACCCTTAATGCAGGGCGGGCATGAAAAAGACAAATCAGTTCCTCTTTCTTTATCCTTTTCATTAAGTCACAGAATAAGCAATGATGAAGAAGAAAATTATAAAGCAGTTTGGAAGATTGCTTTTTAATTTTATTTATGAGTCAAATCTGGTAGTGTTGATATGAAAATGAAATATTATTTCTGCTACTGCATAATAAAATGAATTTTTTCCACATACGCTTCCATAGTTCTACGCAGATTAGATCAGTGGTGATCGGCGAGCAGTGCATGCCGGTTAGATTTGTGTCCGACTTGACGCCGACTTGCTCTGACGTCATGCATACGTAGGCAACGATAACCTCGTGAGATCAAGGCGGCCGCAGATTTTGGAGCAAGGCACTACAGTTGCTCTCCATCGGCTGCAAAACCTAGAGGATGACGGGAAACGCCTGGCTCTCACCTGATCTAAGATCTGATTGGTTCACATTTTGATCCAAACATCCGGTGGTTGAATGCAAAATGTTAACTGGTCACATGTATTCTGTAAATCATGCTACGTTGATGATGACAGCAATATAAGCCACAAAGAGGACTGTGATGTGTTCTTTTGTCATGTTTCCAACAAGCACACTAAACCTACAGCTGATAACCTTTACTTATTATTACGGTCATGTCTTCTTATACAATATATGATATCCACAAGCACGTGAGGACGTGTTTCCGTTGCTAACAGGCACCAGAATTAAAACAGCATAGCATAGCATAGTTTATTTATATAGCATGTTTAAAATGCAGCATGGGAGCTGCCCAAAGTGCTGCACAGACTAAAACAAAACACAACCATTACAAGGAGCTAAAACAAAGGATAAAAATCTCAAAGGCAGATAAACCATGATGAATACTAAGAACACATTAAAACAATGATACAATAAAACACTAAAACGAGTCACTGTCTAAAAGCCAAAGTGTAAAAGTGGGTCTTTAAACGAGATTTAAAAACCGCCAGAGATGGAGCCTGCCGAACTCCAATGGGCAATGAGTTCCATAGCTTTGGGGCAGCATGCACAAATGCTCGATCCCCCCGTGATTTGAGTCTCATCCGCAGCGTGTACATCAGCAAAAGGTCAGCCGACTTCAATGTGCGGGTGGGCACATATGGAGTGAGAAGGGCAGAGAGGTAGGGAGGTGCCAGGTCATTGAGTGCTTTAAAAACAAAAGTCAGTAACTTAAACTGCACTCTGAAAATGACAGGGAGCCAGTGAAGATGTACCAGGACAGGGGTAATGTGGCTACGTCGGTGTGTACCCGTCAGGAACCTGGCAGCAGCGTTCTGGACGACCTGCAGCCGATTCAGGGCAGTGTCCGGAACACCAACTAGGAGGGCATTTGCATAGTCCAGGCGAGAGGTAATGAAGGCATGAATGACTGACTCCAAATGCCTCAGTTTCAGGATTTGTCTGAGGTGAGTAAGGCGGTGAAGCTGATAAAAACAAAACCTCACCTCACTACGGAGTTTATCTGTGGGGCCATTGTGAGTCCAGCATCCAGCTTGACCCCGAGACTCGTCACACACTGTTTGGGGTTAAGGGTTAAAAGGTCAGAAACAGGGTGAGAGCCATGGTGGTTGCGGGGGTCAAAAACAATAAACTCAGACTTCTTTTCGTTTAACTTTAAGAAGTTGGATGCCAGCCAGCCCTTCACGTCATCCATACATGCAGCCAATTTCGAGCCCGCATTCTTCTCGTCCATTTCCACGTATAGCTGACAGTTATCTGCGTAGATGTGATAGCTCAGGCCATGCTGATTCAGGATATTGCCCAGAGGCAGAAGGTAGATTGAAAACAGCAATGGCCCAAGTGGCACCCCCCAAGGCAGTGGAAGACTGGAGGATGCACAGTCACCGATCTGTACAGAGATGGTACGGTTTGATAGGTAGGAGCGGAACCATTTATGCGCCACCCCCGTCACCCCAACCCAAGACCCAAGCCGATCCAGTAAAATATGGTGATCGACCGTATCAAAAGCCGCTGAAAGGTCCAGCTGGAGCAGCAGTACCCTAGACCCAGAGTCAGATGCCACCAGAATGTCATTTAGCACCCTAATCAACGCAGACTCGGTGCTATGGTGTGGTCTAAAGGTTGACTGAAACACATCCAACAATGAGTTGCTGTTCACATGAGCAGAGATCTGACCATGCACAATTTTCTCAAGGACCTTCGAGAGAAACGGGACTTTCGATATAGGGCGGAAGTTCTCATAAGTGGAGGGATCCAAACCAGGTTTTTTCAATATCGGCTGAACAACTGCATCTTTAAAAAGCTTAGGGAACACTTCAGTGCTGAGGCTAATGTTAAAAATGTTCATAAGTGCCAGGCTCAGTGCAGACACTGAGTCACGCACCAATTTAGCTGGGAGGTAGTCCACTGAAGAGCCAGCTGGCTTCATGGAGCTAATCAGTTTCATCAAGTCAGCAAGCTGAACTGGAGCAAAGTCCGAGAAGGCAGGTGGGTCCGGCGATTCTACGTGGATAGTGTATATTTGAGGCTGGAGGCTAAGCCTAATACCAAGGATCTTGTTGAGGAAAAAGCTCTGTAGCTCTGTGCATAAAGCAACAGTGGGATTTAGACCATCAAACTCTAACAGTAGCAGGGAGTTAACTGTGCTGTACAGCCTGGACTGGTCTCCACGATACTGTGAAATGATAGCAGGAAAGTAGTTGTTACGAGCAGATCTAACTGCTTTCTGGTAGCGTGAAAGTGCATCAACCAAGAGCAGCCGAGAGCATGACAGTCTGTCTCTCTTCCACCTCCATTCCAGTACCCTACACTGTCGCCTGAGGCTATGGGTGTAATCATTCAGCCAAGGGTCGGATGTTGTCTGTTTCCGCCTCGGTCTCAGAGGGGCAACAGTGTCCAGAGCAGCAGAGCAGGTCACACTGAACCGATGCAGAAAACAGACAAGGGCGGAGCGAGGGCATCAGTGTCCAAAACCGACAGAAAGTTGGAAGTCGTACTCGGAGATAAGCGCCTGGAGTAATGAGCAGACCGTCGCCGGGCTGGAGGAAGGAGACGTGAGATGCTGAACGTGATCACAGCATGGTCAGAAAATGCCACAGGATCCACAGATAAATCACGCACATCCAGTCCAAAAGATAAAACCAAATCCAGGGTGTGAGAGTCAGCATGTGTGGGAACACTTACCAATTGCTGTAGTCCAAATGAGTCTAAAACATTGATAAAATCTCTCACCAGTGGTATCAGAGGGCAGCAGACGTGGATATTAAAATCACCCAAAAATAATCCCCTGTTCATATTTTGGGAGCACATCAGCTAAAAGGTTGGAGAATTCACTTATAAAATCCTTGTTGTATCTTGGTGGCCTGTAGCACAGTAAAACAAGGATGGGAGGAGAGAAGCCCAGCTCTAATACTGAGACTTCAAAACTGGTCAGAGCCATCAGCCATAAACAAGTATGAACGCTAACGCGACATCTTCATCCACTGTCACCCGCGAGCTACATGTAGGGAAATCTGTCCGACTTAAATGCCGACTTTCAGCCAGTCCCCCGTTGCGTCCGTCTGCTCTCGTCTGTTTTCCAGGCAAGGCGCTGCTCAACTCGAACAAGGCCATTAACTCCTCATGTTATTAGGGAAATAGCGGGCGAGTGGTGTTGATGCATGGTTGCGCATGTGCCGTGAGCGGTTCTGGTACTTTTTGGGTCGCAGCCGCTGCTTCAACCCTCACGAGGAACGAGCAAAATATCAAACACTCAAAGTCCGTGCGAGCTCACGATTGCTGATCGTAGCTGGTCACGTGGTGTTAATCGCCTCTCGTAACCCCCGTATACTACACGACTCAGCGCAAAACTCGCCCTGATCTTGTGGATTGTTGCACGAGTGGAAAATCGGCTCAAAAAAGTGAAAAAGTCGCACAGTGAACACCCGGCTTAAGCATGAAAATAAAGTGGAAAACATCTGG